AATTGAGTACGAAGGTACCATTGTACATCTGTTTTGTTTATTTGGTTTTTTTTTAAAGAACAACATTACTACTTGCCCACAGATTTTGATGGGAGTGTGAAAAATCAAGCAGGAGGAGAATATAAATCTCATATACTAAATTGTGACTTTTTGACTATCAACAGCAGAAAATCCTTTGGCTTTCAGTGAAAGCACTGCTGCTTTTCACCATTTAAAAACAACAAATCAAACCGGCTTCCAACATCTGATAGCAAGATTGGTGATTCTGATAAGGAATCTCCCATTTGCAGCTTTTTGTAAAAGAAAATGGGGGGAAAGGCCATTTGAGAGCCGTATCCATGGGCTGCTTTATAGAGGAATATATCTCGCATTTTATATGGTAACAGCATTAACACGTTCAGGATGTGATTGGGGAATTACATGTTAGCCAAAATAGTAGAGAGCCAAATCCACTCAGTCGTCTGCTTGTACATGTCACATGCCAGCCAGCCTGCTTTAATGGCACAATTACTGAAGGGTTTTTACACATCTTCATTTTTCTTTCAAGGCACACCAGGCCAATTGTAGACACATCTCATCCATAGCTACAATCAATACTGAGTACGCCTCACACCGCAGACCCGAGTGGCATGTAATTATGAGGCTGTATTGATTTTCCCCACAAAGGGGTTGCTAACATAGAAAAAGCAGCTTGACTTTCAAATGACTAGGCCGACAGCCTTTTTTTATTTGTCCTAAAGAAAATTAACACAGCTTAGTGAAAGGCCCGAGTCTCATCCTGGGCACAGTGGTAACAGTTTCAGGAGAGTCACTTTCTCCCTAGTTATAAAACCCAGTCAGATTATTCCAGACTTAATCTTCTCCAGTACCGCCAATATAGAATAACTAGCCGATAACCGGGCATTGCCCGAGTACTTATTTATCCCAATCCTGTATTAGACAGGAAAATCCTGTAGTTGGGACTCATGCTGCTGTACTGTCTCTCACGCAGCATCACAAGTCTTTATTCCTCTCCTTGGGAGTTTCTTGTCTACACTGGTGTTTCATTTTTTTATTGCACTTGGTCAATCGCCTCATGTTTCCTTGGAGGGCTGAGAGGGAGCCCCCTTGTGGAGTATTGGAGTACTGTGAAGCCGTTACCATGGCAAATCCACTGTGCTGTACAGTAGAAGCCATCTTAAGGCACAGACACACACCAAAGAGGGTTAGGGGTTTCTTACCCCTACCATATTTGTTTCCAGAGGGTAAGTCATCTATGTACCAAGTTTGGTTGAAATTGCTCAAGGCATTTCAGAGTTATCCTGGAACACACATGCATACACACACACCTGTTTGGATGGATGGATGGATTGATAGATGATAGATAGATAGATAGATAGATAGATAGATAGATAGATAGATAGAT